CCAAGTATAATTTAGGACAACTAAGAATATGCAGAACCTCTGAGAATTAGAGTAGTTATTTCAGTAAATTAACTAGGTAGCAACTGTGAAAATGCTGATGTTAGACAGTATTTCAGCTTCCTGGGCTATAAATGGATATAATTTTTACTTACCTGACAGGTGTGTCATGAGAATTAGCTAATATTGACACTTTGATCTTTAAAATGCTTTGCCAAGTATTAATTAAGGAAGGATTACTTTGCATTTAAAATAGCTAGTATTGTCTCCAACCCTCTCCTAAAATGGTAAAGAATCTACTGTTTGTTTTTCAACTTATTCCCTAGGAGATAATTGCAGAGAAATATGAGAAAGAAAGACTGCCATGCAGATCTATGTTTCAAGGAAGATGAATGGATACCTCTAAATAAAAAATTGCGTTTTGTTGCAAGACTCTTCTCTCCTGTGGGTCTTGTAGCCAGACCTATAGACTTCGGTCAAATGTTACTGAATGTAGGGAGGAAGGACATCCCCACCCCCCAATAGACCACCTTTTTATAACTAACCTATTAATATTTTTTACAAGGCAGGTCTCAAAGTTAAGTATGAGAAGTTCATAACACGTTGCAGATATTCAAGTACTGCATCTACTAGTAAAGCGTGGCCTCGTTTCTCCATAGAGGGAAAGGTGCCAACATATGGGCAAAACTCTATTCAGTTTCATCTGTAGCCAGTGATATGAAATACGTCCAAAGCTGCGCGATGCTTTTGTTAGATGGGTCACCCATGTAGGCTGCTGCCAGAGAAAGATGGAGAGCCAAGGCTTGCCTGCGGAGCCAGCTCTCTCCCAGCCACTCTGCGCTCGATAATAAGGGTAGGGCTTTCACCATGGGCACTCTTGTCACAAAGATCTAGCAGCCAAGGCATGACATTTGGCCTTTACATGGCCCAGTGAATATAAACCCAGATTAGAGGGAAATAAAAGATTGTACTTGATAGCATATGGGAAAACAGCAGCATAAGTCTCCAAATAAGCTGTTCTTCACGCCCCAGAGAGATCATTATGCAGGGCTTTCCTGTGGTTGCTACTGCTGGTGGTTACAGCCTGACCTGGTGTCACAGGCTACTCGTGCTGGTAGTGCAAAGACATCTCTCCTGGAGCCGCAGTATTTTCCTCACCATCAGCCAGGCAACACAGGAAAGACAGAGCCGAAGGGAAAGAAAAAAGGACGGGACAAAGGTACTGGAAGAGATGCCAGAAAGCACATGCATGAAGATAGATGCAATCCCTGTGTAGTCCCCCCGAACACTCTTTAGGGTCTCAGGGTGACAACAGCAGAAATTCTGTGAGAACATTTCGCAAAGCCCATGTCTCATTCTCGCCCACTGCCCAAGACATGCAGAAGATAACTGAACAAATGTTACCCGGTGTTTCAGTGACTTAAGTCCTATGGATCTAAAGATGAGTCTTAGAGGTGATTCTGGGGACTCAAGTCTGATCGATTGTCATATCTACAAAATACTAGAATTAAGTTCCTTATGCAAATCCTTCATGATAGTCTCTATGATGGGAGACTTTTTCCCCTGTTCCCCTGCCTCATTTCATGCACAGCATAGACATTATTTAATGAACTAGCAACTCTTCAATATTTATTTTTCTCCTCATTATCCAGTGTGGCTCTATGCCTTATTTACCATGCTATCCAAATGCTGCTAAGAATTATTTATAGCATTCACGGTATAGGAGCCAAGTTCTTATAAACAACAATTAATTTTATAATACCCAGCTGGATCCTGAAACTAAGGTAGACATTTTTGGGATGGGCACTGTTTTTGAGCAACTCCTTTATAATCCTGGAAGTATCTAGGATGCTAAAAAGCATCTCCATACACTTTCCAGAAAGAACCTGCCTACCAGCAAGCAGAGCTTAGTGACAGCACATGACATGATGTGGTCCTCACCCTTCACAAGGGTGTTTGAACCAGGCTATTTACGGTACCAGTGCACACATTTTACATAAGAAATACTGTTGAGAACAGTGAACAAAACACTCAATGCTACATTAAGAACTTGTTCCAGGGATCTCTGATTACAAGATGTGCAGTGAGAACCTAATTTTGGTATCTAATTAGGGCTGGGTGTTCTTCACCCCCACCCGGTGCACTTTCCTGCCTGTGCTCTACTTGACGGTGCCTGCTCCTGATTCCCTAAGGTACACACTCCCCTTCCTCCTCCTTGCAGTCACTGCCTCAAGATTATTTTGATGTTTCATCAGTATAATGCAACACAATTAGCAGCTTATCATCTCCTCCAGTTCATTAGACATTTTTCCTAGCCTTTCCCTAAAGGGGAAAAAGCCCGCTTGCTCTCCCCATCTCCTCTCTCCTCTTCACCAGGTGAAGAAACACAGCAAACCAACATTTCACTGGATTCCTCCAGCATCCCAACGTTGGCTTTCAGGTCTATGAAAGGTCAGTCCAGAAGAGAAGGTCGGTTGGAAGAGAATGAGGACGAGGAAGGTTCTGCAAGTTTATTCCACTTTCTGGCTTTAAGGGTAACCAAAGCCAAAACCCCACCAGCTATCCTACCGAAACATTATAATGTATTCAAGCCCAAGTTTCAGATTTAATTTTTGATTTCGACTAAACCAAAAATTTTTAATAAATATCTCTGGATGCGCTACACATCAAAATGGATGATTATAAGTGGAGGTGCTGGATTTCACAGTTTCAGGGCTCTATCTCCAGTTTGTGATTGACTGCAGGTAAAGCCGCTGCTCCTCTTGGTTCCCATTAAGTGCTTTGTTCCCTCTCTTGGGCTCTGCTGACTTTTTATATGAGAATGTCTCCATAGACACTTCTGTGATACAAAACCAAAAGTAGATATGAAAAGGTATTTTCTCCTCGCCACATAAACCTGTTAATTTGGTATTACTGCAAAAATGCCAGCCAATGTGAGGCTAATTAATTTTTGAAAATTATTCAAGTTTAGAAGGATAAATATATAATTTTAATGTCAGACAGCTGCAAGAGCCAGGTCAAGAAGGTGGTTTCTACTCAGGAGCTCAGTCTACACATGCACAAAATTAAAATATCAGAAAAATAACATCTATTGCAGATCATATGTATTTTTACATCAAGGACAAAGTGCTAGTATCCATCTCTCCACAAGGATGTGTTTATTTCTCTGCCAGTTTCATGACCAGCTAATAATCACGTTGTCAATAGTCTACTACTCAGCTTCCTGAAATACAGCTCTACTTCATGTCTTTTATTTGTTTTCACACACATATATATGTGAAATGATATTTTAACTGGGCAGATATCTTTTACAATTCAACCCATACTCAAATGGTGCTCTCCTGCTAAACAGGCACTTAAAAAACTACAAACAAAGAAAACACAAATATTCTGTTTATTTCACAAAAAATGGGAACTGAAGATAACAGTACCTCTTCCCAAGTTTCCCAGGAGAAACAGTTGAAGATCGAGTTGGTGAGAATAATGTGAAAGTAACTCAAGAAAAACTTTTACATGTACAAACTTGTCATACACACGTGGAATTATTCAAGAAGTGCCACTGGCCTGAACAAGGTCACTCGAGATGTACTTTTAGGACCCTGAAGCAACTAAAGTGACTGGTCCCAGTAAATGCCTTCAAACTTTGTTTTGTTTTGTTCAATACACACCGGAAGGTTTTAAGGATTTGATCTTATAAGCCTATATAGGTTTCAAACTGGGCCAGATACCAGTAATGTAAAGAGTCAATGCACAGCCTAGTCTGTAAATCTTTAGCTTACGTACAATGTTGTCAAAACTGAGGATCTTAATTTCAAGCAACCCTGTATCAGTAGACAGCTCTATATAAACCAGACAGCATTTCGCAACATTCCTGCAGTATCTCACTATTTCAGTACTATTGGTCAGTTAGTAATTTTAGAAGGCAAGTTTATAAAAGCCCGAAGGCTAAAATTAAAACTGTCCCAGCCTGTTAGACATTTAAGACAGGATCACCGTCCTATTTGTCATTTAAGTCATGAATTCTGTACTTTATCCAGCATTTGGAAAGGCTTAGTTGACTGCTTCCAAACTCATCAGGCAGGCTCTGGGAAATGGAAGGTGAGATCGTGGGAAAAATGTAATATGAAAAAAATACTGGAACGAATCCGTGGCAGCTAGAAGTTCATGACTATCACTACCCTGCACACCAGAGCCACTCAAAGCCTCCTGGGGTATGACTTGCAGAGATATGGCTTTGCTTCACACACAAATAGGTACGTACATATACACATGTGCATGCACACAGTTAGGGAGTTCACATTATTATGAAATACAGCTAGGGAAAGCAATTACTTTAAGAAAAATAATGGGGTATTCACCAGCAAAGTAACAGTTTCAAAAGGGTCTAGAAAATGAACCAAAGCTCTTATTGTTAGAGAACTACTGACTCCAGGTTCAAAAAAGTGACCTCAAGTGAGCAATGATGTACTTAGCCTGGAACTTGCAGGCTCTGTATTTCACGCTAAATTGAATTGCCAATCCACAGTGCAATCTTCTACTATAAACTCGCATCTTTGGGGCAAGTATACAGAAAAATACTATATACTGGCTGCATTATTCCAAGTTCGACTAAATTCCTCTGGAAATGGAAAATATGTCCGCATTACAGAATTTAAGGATCCCCATGGGTATTTATAGAGGGGTAGTGGTTTTTTTTTCCTTTTAAGGGCACTTAGTGACAAGTTCATGTTGACATTTTTCCTGCAAACAGTTCATAAGCATGCAAATAACTAATAGCACGTGGCCCCATTAAAAGCATTTAGGTACGTATAGCCTACAGACCCATACTGAAAACCACATAACAGACATTTTATCTCTCTCACACATATGCACAATGATCAGATCCAGCAGTCTCGCCATACTAAAAGTGGTAAATTAGGCTGCCAATTTAGCATTATGTATAGTATCACCAATGTCAATGGTTTGCAAACATAAATAATTGACACATGCTGTGAAATACTTACATTCACTTTTCCACTAAGTCTTCTTCACTACAATCAAGTTATTTTCCAGGACAGTGTTTAATCTTCTTACTAAATAAAAGAAGGCAGCAATTAAAAATATATTCATATGTGTTAAGCTATGCTCAATCACCTTAAATTTATGAACTTTAAAATATTGATTTAAGATTGTCTATACTGTCCCATAAACTTGTAATTTGTTTATATATAGTCAATTTTATTACATTTTAAACACAACTTTAGCACACCATAACTTTCAATCCTGAGGCTAAATGGGGCAATGTTCTGTATTTCAATAGCTGCTTGGATAATAAATCAGATGGACAGTTGCTCACAGATGTACAACTAATTACTGAAGAACTGAGAGCTCAACTGATATATTACCAGAAAGAATGCCTGGCATTACAGATGGGGTATTGTATGATTTGGCACTCCTCTAGCTAGCGCTTTAACACACTCTTATCAATGGCAGTACTCAGCACCTCCCACGATCAAACATTTAAGAATGGAAGAGAAACAGTGTCTGTCCCTCTAGGGAAGGATAAAATACCGTCTGATATTCTTTAACATCACTGTATATGCCAGAAAGTGATAAAAAAGGGTTCATGTAGATTGTTGTCCTGGCTTCGGCAGGGATAGAGTTAATTTCCTTCCTAGTAGCTGGTACAGTGCTGTGTTCTGGATTTAGGATGAGAACAATGTTGATAACACACCCATGTTTTAGTTGTTGCTAAGCAGTGCTTACACTAGTCAAGGACTTTTCAGCTTCCCATGCTCTACCGACTGAGAAGGTTGGAGGTGCACAAGAAGCTGGGAGGGGGCATAGCCAGGACAGCTGACCCAAACTGGCCAAAGGGACATTCCATACCATGTGACGTCATGCTCAGTACATAAACTGGGGAAAGCTGGCCGGGGGGGCCGCTGCTCGGGGACTGGCTGTGCATCGGTCGGCGGGTGGTGAGCAATTGCACTGTGCATCACTTGCTTTGTGTATTCTTATTATTATTATTACATTATTATTATTGCTATTATTATTTTATTTCAATTATTAAACTGTTTTTAGCTCAACCCACGAGTTTTTCTCACTTCTACTCTTCCAATTCTCTCCCCCATCCCACCAGCAGGCGGGGAGGAGTGAGTGAGCAGCTCTGTGGTGCTCAGCTGCCGACTGACTGAGGCTAAACCACGACAATTGTTCAACACAAATGTGAAGATGACAACTGTCCTCAAAAAAATATCCCAGTGAACAGACATAGTGAGTGCTGAATGCCCCAACCTGTTTCTTACACACAATTATTTCTCAGTTACTTTTTAACAAAGCATGCGATGCCCACTCAAACAGTTTGCAGTGAATGCTGATGCACGCACTAGAAGATCACTGCATGGCAGTTCCCAGGGGAAAGAGACCCAAACACCTGGCAAAATCCACCACCTTTTCTCCAAAGCCATCTCATCTCAGCTGAACCTGACTTTGAGACTTGTGTAACATTGGCTCCCCAATGCTTTGTAAGACACAAACATCAGCAGGGTTTTTATTTTCCCTTCGTGTTCCTTGAGGCTGCCCAGTACTAAGTCAAGTTTGTTTTGTTAATGTTCGATGGGATTTAATTTCTTGTTTGCATTCCCCATATCTAGTTGCTGTGGTAAGATGTTCTGTAAGACATACATTCATCTCTTCCCAGGGAAAAGCTGTTTGAGGGAATCTGCACCCTCACCGGGTGGCGGATGAACATGGATACTCAGCAAAATTGTGAGATGAGGGACATGGGAGAAGAGCTGGGTGAGATTATTTAGACCACAGCTGCATGATACGGCCTAACTGGAGAGCGTAGGCTTGGATTGGGACTGAGGGAAGTCATAGGAGGGGAGTGTAAGTAAAGCAACCAACCCAAGAGACAGACAGATAAAAGTTTTAGACTTCAGGACCAAGGGAAAGGGCAGATTTCTTTCTATGTTTTACTGACAAAGGGAAAAACAAGTCTGGTGCAACTTAAGCATATAAAGGAAAAGGAAATACAGAAGTAAAAGGAAGTACAAAGGGATGTGAAAGATCACGATACTGTCAACAACAGCCAAGAAGGAAGGAGGTGGAGGAAGTCAGCAAGAAAACAAGACTTCATCCCGCTGAGGAGTTCCCTTTATACATCCAAGTTGCCTCTCTCCTTTAGAGCATTTTTGCAAGCATTGCTGAACGGTGATTTAGGCACATCTTACACAGTTGGTTCACATCTCAACTTTGCAGATGCAACAACTGACATGTGTGGAAATTAGTATTTGGCTGAGCCTGCAAAAAGAATCGAATGCTGTCAGCCCTGACTGTTGTGTCCAGCCAGTTATACCTCCAGTAATAAAGGTATGCCCCTTGCTAATAACATCAGAAATTTATTTATTGGGAAAACAGGTTCAACCATAACCCAGAAACTGGCAGAGAGTCATCGGACTACTTATGTGTCAGTTCTCACATGGGTACATCAGGCATTTTAGTCTGTAGTTGGTAATCAGCTGTGCCAGAGCTACCAAACTGTACTCAATTTTCTGTGTTATAAAATAGGAAGCCTTTTTATAAAAGGCTTGGGACACCAGCCAGAAATCTCACTCACTGTCTCCCTATTTATTCAGACTGAGTCATCAGATTTTCCAGGTTTCTCCACTCAAATGGCACGCTGCTTTGGCTAGGTTTAGATGGACACAGGTGGTACCATCTGTCACAAAGCTTCGTGGTTTTGTTTGGTTTTGTTTTTTCCTTTTACCTCCTGCTCGTAGCACAACAGCTCTTTTTCAGTATCTCACACTGGAACACCACGAGGACCTGGTCTTTCATGGTATGGGTTTGGCCAGCTGGCCAGTCAAAATGGACTGCTTGAACTAAAGGAACTAAAATACACATTGCTATCGCAGGTCCTCTGACAGCTGGAGGCTCTTGTTGCAGACTGACCTGAAGTTAAAAGTACTCAGATGACACAGGGGAGTTGTTCTTTAAAGCTGACAGAAACCATGAGCACAAACAGAGCAAGTGGGTAGGGTGATGCTCACACAAGCTAACTTCAGTCTAACAAGGTTGATCTTCCTGTTTTTTCTCTCTCCGCTGGCTTCACAGAGAGGGTCCTGCCATGCATCACCTTCTGGAGGAGGAATCAATCTTCCCTGAGCTGCTTTTTGGAGGAGACTCCCTCTCCTCTCCATAACCCGCAGAGGACAGCGGGGAGATTACTGCCATTAGACTACATTTAGCTCTTATCCTGCCCCATCCCAATCTGAACGCACTTAACAACCCACCTTTCATATGACACAATTTCTGCCTTTCAAATCAAAATACTCCTTTAGGACAAAAGGACGAAGACCACCATGGACATGTCATGCAGTTAAGAACATCAGGACAGCTCAATAACCCAGCCAACCATAAACAACCTCCCCATACTGTAAGTGCCCTCTCCCTCATCAGGAAGCTGCACCTCTGTATTTAGGATGAATGTCTCAGATACCATCATTTCAAAAAGATGATAAACTCAGGCTGATCAGTTGTGTCCAAGTGCAAAATTTTGCAAGTGGATAATGTGCTGCCCTGCGCTGTGGCTGTCAGGGGGATCGTGGCTTCCAAAAGCTGCAAGGAACAAAGCATGTCACTTGTCCTGTGGCGCCTAAAGCCGACGCTGCCATAAGTACGAGTAAGAACATATTGAGTGCTTTTTTTTTTTTGTTTGCTTCTAGAGCTAAAAACAGATCATAAACCACATTTCTTTGAGGGAGGCTTTTGTTTGTTTGTTAGAAAGGGCAGGCACTGGGTCAAGGATAGAAAGTTGTACCATCCGGTTCCCACAGACCTTATTCCCCCGAGCCTTCAGCTATATGTAACATATGGAGCAGATACTTTTCATATAGGCTTTTATACACCCATGGAACTTTTATCCGGCTGTTGAGCTAACAAGCACCGTGCACTTGATAGGATGGAGCACGTAGGATAACGCTACATACTGCTTTTTTGAGCTTAATTTTGAAAACGGATCTTCACATTTCAGTGCTGGGAAGGCTACGTTACAACACTGAGATCATGTCCATATGGAAACAGGATATAGAATTTACTATTAAAAACTTTAGGGTGATATCAAATGTCAGCTTAAGACTCTAAACATTGCAGTGTATTTACATCTCTAATTAAATCTGTATCACACCACTACACTCCAATATCTGGCCAACGCTGTACCTTCCCTCACCTTCAGCTCTCCAGCTTACATTGCTCTTGGTCATCTCCATTCTGCCCTCTCCACCTCCTTTCCTCAGAGACACCCGCTCCACTTCTAGCACGTGAACTCCAGAGTTTCATTACTGACTTCCTTTCTGTCTCCTCCACTTGGCTACCTTGGGCTTAGTATTGTTGTTGTCTTGAAGCTGCTCAGCACAGCTCTACCTTCAATACACTCAAATCTGATACTGCTTAGACTCTTTTTTTTTTTTTTCGTTTCCAGTCAATCCCCTATCCTTTTGACCTCAATTTTATGCACTATGAAAAGACCTTGACCAACTCTGTGCAAAAATTAACAGAATATTAAAATAACAATGGAAGTGTTTAATATTGCCAGATATACCTCAAAAGAACAACCACTTTCACTTAGCCCTTTCATTTTGCTCTTCCTGCAGTTTGTGGCACAAAAAGAAAAAAAAAATTAAAAAAAAAAAAAGGGAAAAAACCACACATGCTGGAGTTTTCTATTCTTAAAATTTAACAGTCTCAGACCAAAATCTGAGTTTTACAGATACACTATAAGAACGAAGACCAGCATAACCCAAAACTGAAACCCAAAAATTTGTGCTCCATTACCCTTTCTGAATATCCTTCACTTTAGTCTAAGGAGACTAAATACTTTATCTCTTTATAGACTTTTCCAGAGAGATTTCTTAACTACTGAATTAAACACACTAACCACAAAGTACTTCTTTCTCTGCTGTCCCTTCTGAGCAGTCTAGAAATCCTACCTGTTCTTTCAACAGTATTTCACCACTAAGTTCAAACAGCAAGAACGCTACCCTGCCAACAGGTTGAGATCCAGCATCTCGCATATTAGGGCAAGAATTGAAG